TGGAACTAGTAAATGATGGAGGTTTTAGCTTCATAAATATAGATAATGAAACTAAGTCATCTCCTTCGTTATCATTCGAATTGTTCTCATCCTCCTCCTCTGACCCTTTCTCCACTATCATATCTGCATTTGGGTCATAATCCAGATCTTGTGAACTAGACTCCATGTAGTCTTCAGTCCCACTACTACATCTTCGAGTAAATTCAGTAAACTATTGGGTCAAATTTCGCAATCCAACAGCTAACTCATCCAAGGTAATACTCTCTAAAGTAGGTCTACCAGCCCTAGTGCTATCTGTACTAGCACTCCTTCGATCACTTGAACTACCCTCACTTGAGCCTCTAGAACTTGTCCTCCCCCTAGTTCTAGAATGACCTCGTCCGCATGAGGTGGTAATCCATAGTCGTTCATCAGTTTCTCTGGGCGCGTCCGATTCACCCGTAACCCTCCAAGATGCTTGAGTCCGAGGTGGCATCTCAAACCTAGACATCGATAATAAATTCTCATTATTTAATTATCTCTTATAATTCCACACGATGGGTTTCTAAGATAAAGAGGTCTACGCAGCTTCTTGCCTATCATCGGTGCTGTAGTCACTAACTATAAGCAAGACTCTACGTAGACCCTACTACTCCGCTGCTTGACACGAGAATTCCTAGGACTCAACTAAACCTAGGGCTTTGATACCAAGTCTACAACGACCTCTTCCCTCGATCGTTACTAGCGTCCGAGACTTATGGGTGAACCCCTCAAATCCCAAATAAGCCTTAGTTAAGCCTCCAAGCAATTTCAACTCAACTTACAATTTTAACACCATAATTCATTTAAACCTAATAATCACAATATTCAAAACGTGGCATCTAGATACTAATAACTAGGTTTGATAATTCCATACAATTCCAACAAAATAAGTAGTAATCATTACATAACCTTAAGTTTTACTAAATACATTTCCAATAAACTATTAATCATTATAAGCCTGACTATTTGACAAAATCTGACCTCTAGGCAGCGGAGTTACTCGGAGTGGAAGTCCAAGAGATGCCATTACCTAGGTTGTAGCTCGTCTTAAGGTGCTGAACAATGCGCTAGAACTGATTACTTATCTGTAAAAGAAAATAAGGGGGGTGAGTCTCATAGGCTCAATGATTATCAACTCCGTGGGTAGGGCGTAGATGGGAAACAAGCTAAAGGTAGAAGATTTGAATATTAAAAATATAAGAATATATGTAAATAATTTAACTCAAAAAGGGAGGTTTGTGCCTTATATATAAAAGAAGTAAGTTAATACAAAATAGTCATTTAAATGAAATGTCAAACCAATTCATGCAAAGATTTCTACCATTAAAATCAGTCAACAACTAACTTAAAGCAATTTAATATCATCATGCATGCTCATATAAAATCCAACATTAACAAAGTTTATATGCAAATTCATAAATCACCTCGTACATGAGGAATTAAATCCAATGTCATCATGTAAGTAAGGGAGCTGCAAAAAAACTGTTATTTCTGATCATGCGCAAAAAAAAAACCACATGCATGAAAACCCAAAGAGATATCACTCTCGAGTAGGAATTAAAATACAGAACACGTGGACTTGCTTGCATGTAATAACATCCGAGAGCTCTGCTCCACCGGATCCCCACATGCCATGGTAGTCTCAACGATGTTGGCCAACATTAGAGAAAATCATGCGGTCGCAACCGCGTATCAAAACTTGTGGCCTAGCCACATATAATCACAAACCATGGCTCAAGCCATGTCTAACAGCCCATTGGTGACCCAAAGGTTCTCTAGATAGAGCTCACTTGCTCATAAGGGTCACACTTAACCGAAGTGACAA